GAGGGAAAGATGAAAAGAACTTTGAAAAGAGAGTTAAAGAGTACCTGAAACTGCTGAAAGGGAACCGAATCGTTTCCAGTGTCTATAATCCGTGGTATATTTCATTAGCGAGTGTGTGCGTGCGTGTGCTGTGGCAGCGGCTTTTTTGGCTGCGCTCGGCGTGTGTGCTGTGTGTGCTTGCTGGTGCCCTGTGCTGCGGTGGGACGTCAAGGTCAGTTCGTATGCTGCGGGAAATGGCCGCCGAGGAGGTAGGGCTTACGCTTGCGTTTGTCTGTAATATCTTGGTGGACGAGTAGTCGCGGTTGGGACTGAGGTGCCTACAACGTGTTTTTGAGTGGGCCTGTGTCTCTGTGTGCGCCGTGTGCGGATAGCTTGCTATGCGTGTGTGGTTGTGTGTGGATTGATGTGGGTTTTAACTTGTTGCCGTTCGGGACGTTGACGAAATGGAGCGATTTGACCCGTCTTGAAACACGGACCAAGGAGTCTAACATGTGTGCAAGTGTTAGGGTGTGGAAACCCCAGCGCGAAATGAAAGTGAAGGGCAGCGTAAGTTGTCTGAGGTAGGAAATGCTGCGGGCTTCGGTCTGCGGTGTGGCACTATCCGAACCGTGTGCGGATGCATGAACCTTGTTTCGTGGAGTGTAAGGATTGAGTGTCATTGAGCAATACATTCTGTGGTGCGTTTTGCGCTGGATTTTTCCGGTGGAAGTTCAATTTCGGGTAGAACCGTTTTTGATCTGGGCTAGTTATGCGGCGTGCGGAGGGACTACACCCAAAGTATGCTGCGTCGTGCTCTATATTCGCTTCTTGATCTACCTATTTTAGGGGACTGTGAGTGAGGATCATATTCGTCTTCGTGCAAAGTTTCGGTATATGGCGGCTGGAAAGCGCGATGGCTACGACGTTTCGGCGTTTGCGGGGCTGTTGGCGTTGGCCTGTGTGTGTTGTGTTTTGTGTCGGGGGGGGATCTGTCTTCTTCGTTAGATTTGGGAGGATATAAAACTGGTAGTTTCCGGCCGTTATTTCTAGCGCTTTTTAAAAGATTAAAACCGAGCCGTTTTAAATTTATAAAACCATTTTTTTTTACTGGGAAAACTGCGAATGGCTCATTATATCAGTTATAGTCTACTCGATAGTACCTTACTACTTGGATACCCGTAGTAATTCTAGAGCTAATACATGCATCAATACCCAACTGCTTGTCGGGCGGGTAGCATTTATTAGATTGAAACCAATGCAGTCTTCGGGCTGGTATTGTGTTGAGTCATAATAACTGTGCGGATCGCGCTTTTGCGCGATAAATCGATTGAGTTTCTGCCCTATCAGCTTTGGATGGTAGGATATGGGCCTACCATGGCATTAACGGGTAGACGGGGAATTAGGGTTTGATTCCGGAGAGGGAGCCTTGTGGGGAACGGCTACCACATCCAAGGAA